GCGCGACGAAGTAAAAAGATGGGGTCAGATACCCGACGGCGTGCTCGAAAACCGTACTGTGTACCTCGGATGTGATGATCGTGTTTCTGAGAGATGCGCTTCTGCAATATGGAAGCGTAAACTTTATAGAATGTGTTAAGTAGGGAGATGGGTCGGTAATTTTCGGGAAGGGATGGGGACCCTTTGTTCTTGAATATGCTAACTATACGAGCATGTTTCCAATCCTTAGGAATCTTGCGATCTTTAAGGCATTTATTTAGTAGAGTCAGAAGTTGTTTTTCGGCGGAGTAATCAAGGAGCTTTAGCAAATCTTGTGTTACTTCATCTGTGCCAGGCGCCCTGTTTTTGCGGAGTGAACGGATTGCCTGCTGAAGCTCTTCCATGGAAATAAGGTCTATGGCGGAGTGATCGGTGGGATTAATTTGAGGACTGGTTCTCAAGAGATCCAATTCCTCCTCGGTTAAGCGCGAAGGTGCCCACTGTGACTGCGCTAAGTGGTGGCGAAAGGCTTCGTGCGTTTTAGACCAAGGGACAGGAACACTATTGAGTTTTAAACGTTGCCGTTTTTCCCTGAATCCCGTTTTCAAGCGCCGTATTTTTTGCCAAACAGAGTTTTTATTCAAACAACCATCTGCCAGGAATTGGTCACGCATCCAACGGCGTTTGAGTTTACGGGCATTTCGCTTAAGCTCTCTATAAGCTTGAGCATACTGGGGGCTTTGGCTAAGGCGGAGTGTTTTAACACGTGCGATTTCTGCGGCTATTTCCTCGGTGATCCATGGCTTTGTGGGCACGTATGTCGCTTGTGGTATATGGAGTTTTTCGGCTTTAAGCAACGCTGAGGTGAGTGCTTGGTTTTGCTGCTCCAAAGTATTGCCTTGAAATTGTTCAGGTTCTTGGAAAGTCTGCGGGGTGGCCAAATAGGCCAAACTGGATCTGCCTCCTTCATACACCCTGGAAGTTTTTCCATGCCCTGCAAGTTTGTCAGCCATTTCATTAAACTTGTTACCGGAGTGACCTTTAACCCACTGCCATTGCAAAGTACATCTGCGCTCAAGCTCGTAATGCAGTGCACGTGCATGGCAAACCATTTGAGCGTGGCGTTTGGGTCTGGCTGTTCCTCGAACTGCATTAGCGGCCCATTTACTGTCATAGTGAAAAATGAGCTGGGCGGGCAACGTGTCCAGGCTGAGTAAGTACAGTTGAGCTTCGAGAATGGCGGTGAGCTCAGCAGAATTATTGCTGCCTACTTGTGCTCCTAGATAATACACTGAGCGGTCATCAGTCTCAACGGGGCCAGCTGCGGAATGGTCATGCTCATCGTTTTTAGTAACTACGAACCCCCATCCAGCTGGGGTGGTTTTAGTGGTCCTTCCAGAGGTACCCGAACCATCTGTGTAAATACCCCAGCAATGATTGTCCTGTACCTGCGCTTGTGGCGACTGCGAAAGACCCAATTCCAATTTGACTGTTCGCTGAAAAGCTGTTTTCGTGGCGTGCGAAATGGCGGAGTAATCTGGTCTAAATCGCGGCGGTGGCTTCGGGGGTCGGGCTCCCAGTTTAATACGAATGTGAGTTTCCAGGAGATAGTGGTCACTAGGAAAACCTGCTGAGTGTACAGCGAAAATTTTGTGTACGGTGGGTAGCCATTTGGCTCTCGTAATGAGCCTGTCCAACGACTGAAACCTTCTAGGATCGATGCCTATTGGTGCGTCTGGTGGGTCAAGGAGTGGGCTGTCCGTAAGATACTGCCGTATATTTGCTGCTATCTCGATGGGCGAATTTGACTCTTGCGCAGTACTTGGCAAAATACCATGAACTATGTCCCAAAATTGTAACCACTCAAAAGGATCCTGCAGAAATTGGGACCAGCACATTGGAGGTGGATGTTTGTCTTTGTATGTGATTTGTTTGGCAAGCGATGGTTGTTTGAACGACATTACATCAACTCCATCGGTAGTGCGGAGTAATTGCAAATACAGTTGACGGTTTGAACCTG